TTTTTTGGGGGGGTGGAATCCAAAATTCCAAAAAATTGGAATTCCAAGCGCCAACGAATCCCGGCGGGGCTGTGATTCCCGGCTCTCCGTTTCCAATGGAAAAGCGGGAATTCGGGAAGCGCGCGGGGGTGGTGGTGGGGGGAGCGGCGGTTTCCCGGGAGCCGTTCCCGGAGCGACGGGAATCGCCTCTGGAAAAGCTGGAAAAGGGAGCATGGGATGGCTCCGCCGCCTCCTCAGCCAGCTCTCCTGTGAGGATCCGCCGGGAATGGGGTTCGGGATTGGGGATTCGGGGTTCCCGGGATTGGGGATTGGGGATGGAAGCGCCGTTTTCCCCAGGATTTCCTCCCCAAACTTGTGGGAATGAGGTTGGGAAAGGGCCGGGGTGAGCGCGGCTCCTTCCCAACCGCCCCGAGATTCCCAGCGGGAATTTTCGGGGATCCTCTCTCCCACACCCCACACACAGCCCGGGAGATTCCCGGCCTGGCGGATCCCCCCGGATCCCCCCGGATCCCCCCGGATCCCTCCGGATCCCGGAGCGTGGGAATTGCGCATCTCCTCCTGTGGGGGAGGCGCTGCCGGAGCTCGGGAATTGCTGCCGGGGATGGGAATGAGAATCCGGGGGGGGGATCTGGGGATCCGCTATGGGATCCACTCGGGGACCCCGGAATCCGCTCAGGGATCTGCTCCGGGATCCGGGATCTACTATGGGATCCACTACGGGATCCGCCCAGGGAGCCGGGGATCAGCTCAGGGGTCTGGAGATCTGCTCAAGGATCCACCCGGGGACCCAGGGATCTGCTCCGGGACCCGGGGATCCGCTCTGGGATCTGGGGATCCTCTCGGGGATCAGCTCAGGGGTCTGGGGATCTGCTCAAGGATCCACCCGGGGACCCAGGGATCTGCTCCGGGATCCGGGGATCCGCTACGGGATCAGCTCCGGGACCAGGAATGTCGGGATCCTCGGCCTCTTCCTCTTCCCTTTTTTTCTGCCGCTTCCTCAAACGGGCTCTCCGTGATCCCAACATTCCCGGGATCCTTCCCGGGATCCTTTCCGGGATCCTTCCCGGGATCCATCCCGAGGGAAAACTCGGCGGAACCAGCGGGATTTTCCATGGAAAAATTTTCTTCGGGAATTTTTTCTTCCCCCCTGCCGGTTATCCCGGTTTTTCCGCCTTCCTGGGTGGAGGAACTGCCGGATATCCCACCCGGAAAATTCCCGGATTTCCGGGAAAAAGCCAAAAGGATTCCGGCCCTTGGAAAAGCTGGAGGTTGGGATTGGCTTCCGGCTGCCGGGAATTCCCACCTGGAGCACCCCCGAGATTCCCAAATCCTTCCCGATTCCATTCCCGGGATGTCCCTGGGACATTCCCGCATCCCCCGGGGCTTCCCCGATCCCGACATTCCCTGGACATCCCCATCCCGGTGATCCGCATCGCCCTTGGAATCCCTGGAATGCCCCAAGGGATCCCAAACATTCCCAATTCCCTTCTCCGGGAAAATTCCGGCAGATCCCGGGTGATTCCCGGCGCTCGGAATTCCCGAATTCCCGAACTTTCCACCTCCCCCCAGCCCGGGAGCTCATCCCGCTTTTCCCAGCTGCCCGGAATTTTGGGAAGCGGCTCCCGCTCCCATTCCCGAGGCTTTTCCCGAGGCTGGGATCGGATCCCGGCTGGATCCCGCGGGATCCAGCCGAACTCCGGGACCCCCTCACCCAGCGCGGGGCTTCGGGAATGCGGATCCCAGGGAATCCCTTGGAAAACTCCGGAGTCGGGCCCCAAAAAAATCCCTCCCGGCAAAAATCCCGGGATTTCCCGGCGGGAAAAGTGGGAAGCACCAGGAAGGAGCCTTGGATGGGGCTGGGATGGCTCCGGAGGGAAGGAAGAGCTACAGGAAAAACGGGATACAGGTGGAAAACGGGATACAGGGAAAACGGGATACAGGTGGAAAACGGGATAAAGGGAAAACGGGATACAGGGAAAACGGGATACAGGTGGTGATGGGAAAACGGGATGCAGGGAAAACGGGAAAATGGGAATACGGGTGGAAAATGGGATACAGGTGATGATGGGAGCAGGGAAAAGTGGGATTCAGGGAAAACGGGAAGCTGGGAAAATGGGATAAAGGGAAAACGGGATACAGGTGGAAAACGGGATACAGGGAAAACGGGATACAGGGAAAACGGGAACAGGGAAAACGGGATACAGGTGGAAAACGGGATACAGGGAAAACGGGAAAATGGGATACAGGTGGAAAATGGGATGAAAGAGGAGATGGGAAGCAGGGAAAAGTGGGATTCAGGGAAAATGGGAAGCTGGGAAAGCGGGATACGTGGGAAAGCGGGGAGGAGATGGGACACGGGGAGAGGTGGGAAAATGGGATACAGGGAAAATGGGAAGCCGAGGAGATGGGAAGAGCGGGAGAATGGGATAGAAGAGAGATGGGATTCAGGGAAAACGGGAAGCCGAGGAGATGGGAAGCGTGGGAGAATGGGATACAGGGAAAACGGGATACAGGGAAAACGGGATACAGGGAAAAACGGGAAGCCGAGGAGATGGGAAGTGTGGGAGAATGGGATAGAGGAGAGATGGGATTCAGGGAAAACGGGAGGATGGGATGGGAAAATGGGATGGGATGGGAAAATGGGATGGGATGGGAAAATGGGATGGGAAAATGGGATGGGAAAATGGGATGGGATGGGAAAATGGGATGAAAGAGGAGATGGTATACAGGGGAAAACGGGAAGCCGAGGAGATGGGAAGTGTGGGAATAACGGGATAGAGGAGAGATGGGATTCAGGGAAAATGGGATACAGGGAAAATGGGATACAGGGAAAATAGGATACAGGTGGAGCTGGGAAGCAGGGAGACATGGGAAGAGCGGGAAAATGGGATACAGGGAAAAACGGGATGCAGGGGAAGATGGGAGACATGGGAAAACGGGATACAGGGGGAGATGGGAAGTGTGGGAAAACGGGATAGAGGAGAGATGGGATGCAGGGAAAATGGGATGAAAGAGGAGATGGGATGCAGGGAAAAACAGGATACAGGGAAAATGGGATACAGGGAAAATGTGAAGAACAAGAAAATGGGATACAGGCGGAGCAGGGAAAACGGGATACAGGGGAGAAAGGATACAGGGAAAACGGGATACGGGGAAAAACGGGAAGCCGAGGAGATGGGAAGTGTGGGAATAACAGGATAGAGGAGAGATGGGATGCAGGGAAAATGGGATTCAGGGAAAATGGGATACAGGGAAAATAGGATGCAGGTGGAGCTGGGAAGCAGGGAGACATGGGAAGAGCAGGAAAATGGGATACAGGTGGAAAATGGGATGGAAGAGGAGATGGGAGCAGGGAAAAGTGGGATGCAGGGAAAATGGGATACAGGGAGAGATGAGGAGCAGGGAAAAATGGGATTCAGGGAAAATGGGAAGCTGGGAAAAGGGGGTACGTGGGAAAGCGGGAGGAGATGGGATACAGGGAGAGGTGGGGAACGGGAAAATGGGATTCAGGGAAAAACGGGATGAAAGAGGAGATGTGAAGCGCGGGAAAACGGGATACAGGAAAAATGGGATACAGGGGAGACGGGATGCAGGGAAAAACGGGAAGCCGAGGAGATGGGAAGCGCGGGAAAACGGGAGAGAGGAGAGATGGGCTGGAATTCCCGGAGAATCCCGGAGATGGGATCCGAGGAAAAACTGGCGCAGCCTGGGATGGCGGGGTGGGAATGGGATCGAGGATCGGCGGATCCCACCCCAAACCATCCCGGGATTCCCAGCGCCCCGGGGTGGCGGGATCCCTATGGACGATCCCTTGGGAATCTCCCGTTCCCGGTTTATCCAGCGGGAATTCGGATCCCGTGGGTCACCGGAATGCCTGCGTGGATCGGGAATCGGGATCGGGAATCAGAGCTGGGAATGGCGGCTCGGGATCCGGGAGCCGCTCCCGGGATCCGGTTTTCCCTGGATAGCGCCAGGATTCCCACTGGGTGCGGGAATCAGCGCCTGGAGGCCGGGATGAGCTCCAGGGTCATCCCCATTCCCAAAATTCCCAAAATTCCTGTGGAATTCCCGCATTCGCATTCCCACGGCCGAATCCCGGGTGACCTCTGGCTCCCCATTCCCGAATCCCTGCGGAATTCCCGCGCCCGGCAGCTTTGGGATCCGGGGTTTGGGGAGGAACGGGAATTCCAGCGGGAATTCCAGCGGGAATTCCAGAGGCACCGGGAGCGTTCGGGCTGGTGCCGGTTCCCGGTTCCCGGTGCTGGTCCTGGTGCTGGGGGCTGGTTCCGGTTCTGGTTCTGATACCAGTGCTGGGTCCTGGTTCTGGTCCTGATACCGGTGTTGGGTGCTGGGTCCCGGTTCTGGTCCCGGTATCGGTGCTGGGTGCTGGGTCCCAGTTCTGGTCCCGGTATCGGTGCTGGGTCCTGGTTCTGGGCACTGGGTGTTGGGTACGGGGTCCCGGTTCTGGGTCCCGGTTCTGGTCCCGATACCGATGCTGGGTGCTGGGTCCCGGTTCTGATCCCGGTTCCAGTTCTGGGTCACAGTTCTGATCCCAGTCCCGGTGCTGAGTCCCGGTTCCAGTTCTGGGTCCCGGTTCCAGTTCTGGGTGCCGGTTCTGGGTCCCGGTTCCAGTGCCCCCGCCGGGTGCTGGATCCCGGTGCTGGTCCCAGTCCCGGTGCCACTGTCAGGTGCCAGTTCTGGGTCCTGGTGCCGGTTCCGGTCCCGGTGCCTCTGCTGGATTCCGGGTGCTGGTTCTGGGTGCTGCTGCCACTGTCGGGTGCCAAATCCTGGTCCCGGTTCCGGTTCTGGGCGCCGCTGCCACTGTCGGGTGCCGGCTCTCGGTTCCGGGTGTTGCTGCCACTGTCGGGTGCTGGGTCCTAGTGCCGGTCCCGGAGTCAGGTCCCGGTCCCGGTGCTGGTCCCTGTTCTGGTTCCCGGTTCCGCAGTCGGGT